ATCAATTTAAAACATCCTTGCTAAATGAAAGTAATAATTTCTATAATATACATTTTAAAAAGAGCTTTATGTATAATGTATAATGTTACAAAAGCTTTTTATTTCAGAAAAATGCTGATCTTTGGATATTTTTATTCATCAAAGAATCCTGAATATTGATAATCAGCAAATCAGCATATTAAAATGATTGCTGATGGATCATGTGACACTGAAGACTGTTGTAGGCCTAATGATGCTGAAATTTTAGCTTTGATCACATGAATAAATTACATTTTAAAATATATTCAAATAGACAGCAGTTATTTTAAATAGTAAAAATATTTCACAATGTTACTGCTTTTGGTGCATTTTGGATCAAATAAATGCAGGCTTGGTGAGCAGAAGATAATTCTTTAAGAAACATTAAAAATCTTGCAGTTCAAAAACCTTTGACTGGTAGTGTAGGCTGATTATTCTTATAGATTGAAACGTGCATTAACCAGGATAACGAGTATGAAACATGCTCCGAGTTGCTTCAGAAAACAAAAAAATAGAGCAACAACAAAAGCATGTTGCTGGAAATGGGTTTATTATTGAAAATGCAAACTGATTGTGTGCCAGCAGGAGGCGCCGTGAGAGCGGTGGAACTAACGGTTTCTCCAGTAATAGCTGTAAACAAAGCAGCTCCGCTCATGAACGGTACTTTATCAGATAAAAATGCCATCTAAACTATTCTGAAGACAGTCGGTTCTCGTCAGAGATGCATTCATATAAAACACCCGCGACGCGTTTTGATTTTGAAATGTGCAGCGCTCATGTTTATTCAACTAAGTCAAACGCCACAAATAAATCAGTGTATGGGAAACACTGGTAATGTATATCGAAATATCGGAAATGTGTTTAAAAATCATATCACCATTATTGAAAAAAATTTATATCACGATACATATTGATATTGAATTATTGTCCAGTAATTTTTGCTTTTATTATTGAGATAATAAAAGCAAAAATCTCTATTCGATCTTAAAGTAACCTAAAGAGATCTAATTTTAGTTTTCTCTTTCCTATGGGATGACAAAGTAAATCAATTCAAAATAAAATAAAGGAAATGCAGAATAAATCATTTTATCTATAAATCTTAATGAATGTAATACTCTACATTACAACCTGTATTCACAAGTCATCCGTACTCAATCTGTGCTTAAAGTGCATAGCAATCTCATAACATTCTAGTTTTCACAATATGGTAACACTTTACACATCAAGTTAATTAGGTGGTAACGTACAACAGTAACTTAGCACTGAAAATCAATGCTGATTCAGTACGTGACCCATTTACTATTACTCACCCACGATACAAACTCAAAATAAGAATAAATCAACATTTAAAGGCTAACAGTATCACACCAAACTCATCTTTACAGCATAAAACACTATTTTTATCATATGAAATGTTCGATAACCATCAAACTTCATATATTAACAGTACAATGCATGAAATGTACTAACGGTAGCATAGCATCAGAAGCTATTCATGTTCACCATGTGTGACCCAATCTCATCTCTTTTCTTCTTACAACATAGTTACATCACAATTATGCAACCCTATACTCAAACTCACACAAACATTGATATTAGAAAACTGAGCGGTTTACCTGAAAAGGGGGACATAGATATGTTAATGAACAGACACAAACACTTGTGTTTCACTCAATCTCTGAATTATTAGAGTGGGGGAGGGGGACTCATGTGCCTATAAACTCTCTATGTTCTCCCCACCCCCTGCTGGAGTGTTTCAGTCCTGCATCATAACGTCACAAGAACTAATAACATATTAACTCTGAAATAATGCTGCTAACAATAATACTTTCTCTTAATAGTTATATCCGTTGCATTACTCACCCCACCCCAATATCAGATGTTGTCCCCAACATCAATACCTCCATAAGGAGTACAATTTTTCTCAAGCAAATTCAGTATAGTGGTTACAGACTGGAACTGTTTTGATACATACAGTTTTGTTTCCTCATACCAACACCAATTAACAGTGAAATTCACCATATTATACATTTTGGTTACAGACTGGAATTCCTTTGATACATTCAGTTTTGTTTCCTCAATAAATTGCAAATGGACAAACATCCCACTTGCAATTTATTGCATGGGTTCAGTTTAATAGATTGGTGGACAATCATCCCATGAACCTACTATAGCGATCCCATTCAATAAATTGCAAATGGACACAGCCCAATTCCAATTTATTGAATGGGATCGGTTTAACCCTCTGGGTGGTTTGGGGCCCTGGAGAAGTTTTGACATGCCCTGACATTTTAGCTTTTTTCAGTTGCTTATAAACATTTTAATGGCTAACACTGTAATCAGCACAAACTGGGCTACAATAATATGTGAGCAGCATGTATATATGTGATTGTGTTTTTGAGAAAACAACGTTTATGCATGCTCAGTGAAAAACTAAAATTTTAAAGTCACTGAAATAAGGCCATAAAACACATACAGAACATTTGTTCACAAGACTTTTGAGAACTGGATCTTGAAGTCTAGAGTTTTTGCTTCAAAAGGAAAACAATATATTGATTTAAATTTTCTAAGACACTTTTTGTGTAGAAAAGGTATATGCGAGGGGGCATGAATGATCATGAATAATGCTGTGATTCACACCTGAGAAGACAAAGGCCCACATAATGAGCTGCATAATAAGCCTTTCAGTCAGGTGTGTGACAACACAAGAGTCAAGACTTCATGGGTGCAATATCCAGTGACAGGAAACTTGAACAACATTTTGAAGAGACTCATGGGAGTGTGTGCATCACATGGTCTTAGCTGTGGTCCAGGTTCCTGTGCAGGCAGGAATCTCAGAGCCTGTGGAACATGTCAACATCAGTCACTGTTTTCCATGACCGAGCGGGCTGCTTTCCTTTGGCTCTCTTTGCAACAGGTTCTTTTTCACTGTTATTCTCACATCTGAAATAAAAAAAAGAAAGCATGCTTTTTACACAAACTATATTATTAACATTACTGTGATGTTCACTGATACTAGTACTAATTTATCAAAACAAAGATAATATTACCATATATTCTAGGCATAATAAAAGTACAATTACTATACTGTGCACTTACTCTTTATATTTTTCCAGCGAACTCAAAACTGAACGACACTCGCATGCGTTTCTTGTGCAAGACGCGGCTACAGTCCTAAATGAAAATTGAAACAGTTGTTAGCAATTACCAGAAGATGCATAGCTGATAATAAATTGCATCACTGATAAGTAAGAACGCGCATATATGTCTGTCGATGGGTCACTCATTTACAGCTTACTTTATACATTTATAGCTGAGATGATCGCAAACACCAGTGACCGGGTATAACACATTCAAAACATTTACACCAGAGCAGATATTTGCGAACAGAAGCTTAGTTACAGTCATAAATACAAGCATGCTTTGTAGGCCTATTATACAATACAAAAACATTTTATATCTGGGAAAATAAATTATTGTTAAGCACATTATAAAGATCTTCGCGAGCAGAGACTATAGTAAAGTTTTGTCTAAACATTCTTACTCTTAACATTATTAACATTATAACTCATATTACTTTATATCGTTGATGTCTATTTTATAGAACATAAAAAAAAACATCCTGGCTTCGTGAGACATTAGATGCAATGAATGAATCTTCATAATGTTTCACTTGATTATACATTTAGTCAGGAATCATGGTTTGGAAAAAGTCTAACTACTAAAATATGTACAAGTTATGTCACAGTAACACAATAACAACTAATGCAAGTAGGCTAATAAAAAAAGACTTACCTGTGTAAATGATATCCTCCACTGGATATCAAGCCGCCTCGTTCTTCTGAGGAAAATCCAAAGCGTATTCCTCCCAGCGCGTCTTCATTTGAGGTAAATTCTGTCTTATTCCTCTCAGCATGTCTTCTTCCAGAAACGAAGTAGCTGAGATGAACTTGAGGAAATGTCTTGCTGCTTTGTTTGCTATGATGTGGGCGTTTACATGCCGCGCATCTCACATGGACTATTGTAATATCAAAAGCACGATCGGCTCGTGGGCGTGGTCGAATTAGAGATAATGAAGGCAGATGGGAAAGACTGGACATCGCATTGGTTTCATACGGATTACTTTATCACAGAATATTTGTTTTCGATAAGAATTGCTTAGTTTAAAAGTAGACATGTCAATAGATATATCTCTCATGTATTTGAGTCGAGTATTCTCTGAGTTTCATTTAATTTTATTGACACGTTTCAAAATTAAGATCACGTAGACCAGAGAGCGCACCCTGTTTGTTTTCTTTATTTTTACAAAAGCACACAGTTTTGTTATTATTATGTGTGTCCACCCCCCATATAAATACATGCCATTGTCGTAATACTGGAGTGGGATGGTTTGTTGTAATCCTGGAGTGGGATGGTACTGCGCCACCCTGTGGATAAAGACTGAACTGATTTTGGGGGCCACAAACCTTGCTGGGCTCCTGTACGGCCCCTGGGGGGGGGGGGGGGGGGGGCGGCCCCCCAACCGT